TGGCTCTTGTTTCTTGATGGTATGAGGTCCCCATGTCTCTCTGCTCAATTCTCTCTTTTGTATCTCAAAAGAGACTGGCTTAAAACACAACCTAATCTTACAGATTTGAGTCCTGCCTCATTAACATAACTGCCTCTAATCCTGCCTCATTAACATCATAGAGGTAGGATCCATAACACACATGAAGATCACATCAAATGACAAAATAGCAGACAATCACACAATACTGGGAGTCAAACACAATTCAATCCATGACAGAATCTCTAGCTAATTAAGCAGTATGCTATTCAAACAGATACTGGATTTAGCTAACAATCTGAAAACAAGATCAGTAAAAGATAATCTTCAGGTTTTCTAGTCATTTATATTAAATTATGTTATACTAATATTTATAAAACACAGAGGCATGTGAGTTTCAGGAAATAAAGTATCAACAATAGATAATAGCTTCAAGAAGAGTATAAAGTATTAATTTAATCTACAACATTTAATATCATAATTTTATTTATTCTTACCTCTGAACTATAGTCATCTGCTGTGGTTGAAATTTCGCTTTCCGGCTAAAACAAAAGTAGAAATGAATTACAATCTGACTTTTTCTTTTTGCTAAATATTATACTTTATTAAGCCATTACTGTTGGTAACATATGATAGGAAACTCACATAAAATATCACTAGAAAACTAGTAAAAATTATTCAAACCTTTAAAAATTTCATTAAAACATTATGAATCACAATGGTTAAGTTACATATCTAAAATTGATCGCTTGGAATTTTTCTAAATATGAAGATACCAAGAGGTATTTTCTCACAGCATCTTGTATATACTATTTATCATTCCTCAGCCAAAAGCACCAAATCAGACACCATTCTTCTAATGCCCGTCCCTATATTCAATAAAAGAAAGCCCAAAAATGTTATTGTCAGAAAAGTTCACTTCTTCAAAAAGAAGAATCATCAAATCTTGATGCTGGAAAAGTAGTAACTTGAAGAAAAATAACACCTCTGCAGTTTACAAAGCACTTCCCAGGACATTCTTGTTTCATCCTCACATCCTTGGGATTTGGGCATAGAAGCGAGTGGCTTTTCCAAGCTTCCCTCAGCTAGTAAGTTAAAAAGAAGATTCAAGGACCAAATCCAGATTTTTTGACTCCAAAAGTGCTCCTTTCACTGCTCACCTTATCTCATCTCATCTAAGAATTTCATGTTACAGGTTTATTCTAGGGATGCAAGGCTGATCCAATATTTGTAAATAAATTAATGATTTCAAATCTATTAAACTTTATGGTTAAAATGGATGAACTTTATCGCATGTAAATTATACCTCAATAATAATTATTATTTTTAAAAGCAGTAGTCCTTATGTTCCTGAATTTCAAATTTGTCTTTAATTTAATTCCAGCAAATATAACTGAAGCTCTAACACGCTGGGCTGCTAACCAAAAGGTTAGTGGTTTGCGTCTACCCACAGGCACCTAGGAAGGAAGGTCTGGTGATCTATTTCCAAAAAATCAGCCACTGAAACGCTTATGGAGCACAGCTCTACTCTGACATGCATGGGGTCAACATGAGTCTCAAAAGCAACTGGTTTGGTTTATGGCACACTGAAGGGACTATGGAGCTCTAAAAGAATCTGCCTACCTGAGGCCCTACCTGTCCATCCACCCTAAAAGCTAAGAAGACCAATAACTGGTAGCACAATGCCACCATATACAATGGCACACTGCTGCATACTGACTGGAAAACTCTGAGCAAGGGATGACTATTGCACACTTGGCTCTGATTTCTACTTTTATTTCTTAAAGATTATAGAACTCTGCTAAACGTGACTTGCAATTAATATTGGTTAAAACTGGAACAAAATGCCAATGTGAAGCTACAGCTATGATATGCTGTAGCTGCCAACTGAATCACGTTTCCTGATTGTAGATATACTTGCGATCCTCATTCTAGAAAGAAAGGGTTTCTAGTTTGGGCTTTATCTCGCAATTACAGACCCAGGCAATATTGCAGAAAATACACTGGAATTATAGAAAATGTCTAACTTTAATTTTTGTTTGAAAGATATCCAATTAAAATGCCTGATATACATTTTCCTAATTTTGAGGTATGACAACCTGAGGAAGGCTGTTTTCAGATATTTTTGATAGGATATTTCCTCGTTTGAAATTTTCAAAGAATAGCAAGGCAAAAGGTATCTGTATATATTGAAAGGCCTCTGATAAATCTGAGTTAGCTTAGAAATTAATCAGAGTTTTCTTGTGGCAAAAAAATTTCCTCTTTAATTAGACAGCCCCATAAAACAAAATGAGACTAATGGGGCACAAAAGCCCAGGGACAAAGACTAGAAGGCAG